GTGCGCTGGGAGCGCACCGTTTAAGTTTGAAAGTTGAAAAGTTTGTGTGTCTGAAACGCTATGTGATACAGTACAGTTTACACAGCACAGTACATGTTCTGTAGCTACTATTGCACTAAATGGTAACACTTGAATACGTTATGCAAATATGCAACTTGTTTGTTGAAATGTTAATAAATGGGAGCTTCCTCAAACAGCCATCTCTTTCCCGACAATCCCCTCTGTGCACGAACCCTTACATATGGTAATGAAACATTAAAACACCTGCGGCTTATAGTCAAGTGCGGCTTATATATGTACACATCATTCAATTTAGCTGCTGCGAATTATAGTCCGAAAATTACGGTACTTACTGTAGCGGCTAAATCATAATGAAATGAAACAGACAATGTAACTCAAAAATAAAACTGACGCTAAGTCAAGACAAGAATATCCTATCTGTGCATTTTATTCCAATGATCCAATATCATACAGTACTCAACAGCAATTAAGTTTGCCCTGCAGCCTTTCCTGTGGCTCTCCTCATGCTAACCCTGGTTAAAAACCTTCGCCCTCTCTCCACCTGGCTCCAATAAATTCAGAATCACCAGATGCCCAAACACACTTTCAAAATCAAAGCATAAAGAATGAATACTAGCTACAGCCGATAAATACATGGATTGCTTTGTGTTTAAAACATTGTTTGTGTAAATTAAGATGATCCTGATATAAACTGCGCTAATCTGGATTGTTGTATTGCTTTAGGTACTTTGAACGTGCTTGAATTGTACTCCTAATAACTGTACAAATGCTGATAAGTGTTTAGATTTAATACACTTTACTGCTCGTTGTTGAGTTACAGAGTTCTGCACATGTCTCCAATAAAAACATAATCACCTTCAAAAACCACCTTCAAAATAAAAGCCTAAAGACTTAATATAGCCAAGCCAAGTCCCTGAAGACTGAGCTACTGCCGACAAAACACATGGATTACTTTGTTTATAAAACAATTACAAAAACATTGCTTTCGGTGTTTAAAAAGTGCAGACATGTCACTCCTAAGAACCTGTACAACCCTGATGATTACAGGAGTGTTTACATGAAATACACACACACTTTATAGAGTTACAGAGTTCTTCTCCTGTCATTAATCTGATCTCCTGCTTCCTCCCACAGAGCTGAAGATCCCCATCAGGATCGCAGCAGTGGGAGTGGGGGACCAGGAGGAAGACCCTCTGAAACCCACTAAACCAGACTCTGAGGGCCCGGAGAAAGGCCCCTGCTGCCCCTGCCCCAAATCAGTGGAGGACCTGGAGGCCGAGGCCGCGGACGCCTCCTACAGGAAGGTGTTCGAGAACTTCCTGCACAACTCCATCTTCACCCCGAGGTAACCACGGCGATTAATACCTTATTAACAGAGGAGGGAAGTAGTGGAGAAGAAATACCAGTTGATTTTATTTCGATTACGTTGTTTTCGTAATCGTTGCAAGCCATAATCGTAATTGAGATTAAAATACGATTAATCGAGCAGCCCTAAGGTTAAGTAGAATTCCTCCTCTACGGGACGAATAAAGAGTTCTGATTAAAACTGCTCTTCCATCTTCCTCCCTCTCTTCTTCCTCTTCCTCTCTCCTTCAGACCAGCGGATCGTAAACGCAGAGATCTTTTCGGAGTCGCAAACTCGACTCACTCTCGTCGCAACCGCCTCCTTTCCTCCAACACCTCTTCCTCCTCTCCTCCTCCTCCTCTCTCTCCTCCGAACGCTGGCAGTAACAGCAGCTCGACGGACGCTGATCCGGCAGAGAAAGAGTTTGACTTCGTGGAGCAGGCGGTGGACGAGCGCGAGCTGCAGATCTTCGGCCTGCAGCCGTTCACCGTCTACAGAATCGATATCCACGCCTGCAACCGGCAGGTCCAACGCTGCAGCGCCGCTGAGTTCGTGTTCTCCAGAACCAAACCGGCAGGTGAGAGGAACTTCTGGTTATATATTGGGGGAGGCGCAGTGGGTTGTGTGTTGGTGTTGGGATCAGGGGGTCACAGGTTCAAACCCCACTGCAGTCAGCATGTCGTTGTGTCCCTGATAGATGTCCCGATCCGATCACGTGATCGGGGATCGGAGCCGATCGCGTGATTTTCAAAAGATCGGAATCGGGAGAAAAAAATCAGGGATCAGGATTTTTTTTTTAAAAGATTAATTTTAATTTTTTTAATAAATACTTTTTTTAAATTTTGAATTCAATGTTACAAAACAAAAATGACCATGTTCAAGTCTTAAAGTCATCCTGAGGCCTTAGTTTTGGTTTCAAATGACACAACATCATGTATGTGTTGCTTCTTTGGGGCTTGTTTTCATAGACCTGGTTGCTTATTTCTCTCAAATCTGGCAACAGAGTGGGCAGGGCGCAGTGTCTAATTGTAGCAGTAAGCTAACGAGTACTGAAAGCTTTATTTTGTTTTGATCCAACGCTGCACAACTGAACTGATCCAATGCTGCTGTGAAAGAAAGAAGCTATATCCATGTTGGATAGAATATCCAATTTAAATAAAAAAATAACCTTAAGGGACAACTTGAATGCTTTTTTTTCTCTTAATGCATTGCATAAAGATCGGATCGGGAAAAATCGGTATCGGCAAATTGTCAAAATCAAATGATCGGAATCGGATCAGGAGCAAAAAAAGGTGATCGGGACATCCCTAGTCCCTGAGACACTTCACCCCAAATTGCTCGCTTTGGATAAAAGCGTCTAACAAGTGACATGATATGTAATCTATTGATGATTAGGAAGTTTTACGAGCACATCGGGTTCCCGTGGTTCCCTAAAAAGCCCAAAAAGGCATTGAATTTATAATTGAAAAGGTTTTAATTGATATTAAAATGTTGCAAATCTTCCTAAAGACTTAAGGGGCACCTCTGAACGTCTCAGGAACAAAGACCCCCTCTCTTTTTGTCCTGATCCATCTTTATAAAAACCAGATCCAAGCTTGCAGGTGAGAGGACCATCTGTTTAGACATGTGATCATTAAGAGCAGAGTAGTTAAATCAGAGTTCCCGTGGGTCCTTAAAAAGTCCTAAAGTCTTAATAATGCAAATACAAATTAAAATCAGCCATATTTTGGGTGTTTTAAACTCATCATAATTGATATGTTCTTCTCAAATGTATTAGTGTGAAGGTCATTTAATAAATAGAAAAGTCTTAAATCAGACTTACATTAAGCTGTAGGAACCTTGAACCTTAATTTAAATACATTTAACTTCCTGAAGACTTAAAGGTCACCTGATGCCAAATCCACTTCTTCATGTCTTAAATACATGAACATGTGCCCCCTGCAGGTGAGAGGACCATCTGTTTAGACAATTAACACCTTTTACTAGTGAAGAAGCCCTTTCATTGGATTAGGTTAGCTCGTAGTTGTTAGGATTAACCTTCCTGGATACAACGGGCTGTTGCAGAAATCGAATGTCAAACGTCATTCAAAGTCAACTTTATTGTCAATCTTTCAGTTTGTGTGTACAGACAGAGAGATCGAAGTACCGTTTCCCACAATCCCGAATACAAAAACACAAAAATATATATATACACAATCGACAGACACATTTATACATATGCACACATTAAGACATAAATAAAATCACAACAATCAATATAAACAAAATACCAGTCACTTCAGTATCATGGGAAATGTACATTAGTGCAAGAAGAAGCGTTACTAGCAAATCGGGGTTCCCGTGGGTCCCTAAAAAGTCCAAAGAGGCATTGAATTTATGAATGAAAAGGCTTTAATTGATATTAAAATGTTGCAAATCTTCCTAAAGATATCTTTTATACACACACACATATTTACGTATGTGTGAACAGACCCCTCTTTTTCTTTCGGTGTCAATACAGTAATACGTTTTACTAGCAAAGAAGCCCTTTCATTGGATCCAGTAAGCTGGTAGTTGTTAGGGTTAACTTGCCCGGATACGACAGGCTGTTGCAGAAATCGTGTATAACGTGTTCTCCGTGTGGTTCTCCAGAGAAAGCGGATGACGTCCCCGGGCCGGTGTCCTGGGAGTCTCAGGAGGAGGACTGGGTGTTCCTGCGCTGGCCTGAGCCCCTCCGCCCCAACGGACTCATCCTCATGTACGAGATCAAGTTCAAACTGGCTGCGGAGGTGAGAAAACACACAACTTCCTGCAACATCACTGAGGAGCTGAAAGAGAGAAGAAATGATTTAAAAAGGTTATTCTTGTAGAAGTTGATTATAGTGAAATATCAGACCAATACCCCCTTCAAACATACTATACCCTCCTTTTTAACTAAAGGAACCCCTGGTTTGTGGGTTGTATTGATCAATGAATTGGGTGGCCTATTGGCCTTGCATACATACAGTATATATTGATCAATGAGCTGACATAACAAACCGTTTTATTTATTAATCACGAGGGAGAATGCATTGGCACTTTACGTTTTATAGCACAGTTAAGATAGTGTGTGTGTGTGTGTGTGTGTGTGTGTGTGTGTGTGTGTGTGTGTGTGTGTGTGTGTGTGTGTGTGTGTGTGTGTGTGTGTGTGTGTGTCAGACGGAGAAGCACGAGTGTGTGTCCGGTCAGACGTATCAGAGCCAGCGAGGCGTCAAGCTGTCCAACCTCAGTCCAGGAAATTATTCCATCAGAGTGAGAGCGACGTCTCTGGCAGGAAACGGATCCTGGACTCCGGCTGTGGATCTCTACGTGGCTGAGAGTAAGAAACACACACACACACACGGACGGACGGACGGACACACACAACAAAAAGACTCTTAGTGTAGTTGCCATTTAAAGATTTTGCCAAACCTGGAGTGTTTCGGGGGGTTATTGAGGATAATGAATCCATTGCTGATATTTTCAGGACCAACAAATTGCAGTTTTAACCAGAAAGTGGCCATATGTGTACTCCTATTGGACTGATTTAGATGAATTGTGGGTAGATTTTTAAGTTTAGGGGACTCGAAACTGCCATTTTTCCTCAAACTTAAAAATCGACCCACAATGCATCAAAATCCCCCCCCAGGGAGAGTACAAATATGACCACTTTCTGGTTAAAACTGCCATCGTTGTTCCTGAAAATGTCAGAAATGGACTCAGCATCCCCATAACCCCGAAACACTCATAAATGGTCCGAATCAGCTAAGCCATTTTTAAACTATTGTCCCCATTGGCTTTAATGCCTTTTAATGCTAATCAACGCAACTTATGCTAATTATGCTAATTATTCAGGTTAGCATCCGGAAGTTTCTATGTTCTGGAGACCCTTAGTATACATTTCTAACATAAACCTTTGGGGTACTCAACATTTCTGGGTTCACAACAGGACTCTCTGAGCTGTTGAACTGCTTCACTTCTTTGTATCTGAACAAACGGCAGAGAAATGATGAAGCCTTTTAATCATGAAAGTAATCAAAGTGTTTCCCCGACAGGATATGAGAACTTTCTTTACGCCATGATCTTTGTTCCCATCGTCATCATCCTCCTCCTCTGCCTCCTGGTCTCCATGCTGGTGGTCTTCAACAAGAAAAGGTGTGTGTGTTTCTTTTCAAAACTGCAGTATGTGTGTGTGTAGTTTATTTTTATTAAACTGGAATTTCTACGATGAAATTATAATAATATTCGTTAACACAGGAAGAAAAATGTGCTTTTTACTTGTTTTCAAAACTTTGATATTCATGATTTTAAAGCATGCAGATACCACGAGTATGCATGCATGAGGTGTGTGTGTGTGTGTGCATGTGTGTGTGTGTGTAATACTCTCGTTTTCGTTCGTGTCAGGAACAGCGACCGGCTTGGAAACGGGGTCCTTTACGCCTCCGTCAACCCGGAGTACTTCAGCGCCGCAGAAAGTGAGTAAAATGATCAAAGTAGAAGTACTGACTAAACTTCTTTACTCAAGTCAAAGTAAAGAGGCTTTGAAATGTACTTCAGTAAAAAGTACCCATAACTAGCAGCTGTTTTAAAGAGTACCTGACCTCCCTTTATATTAATAGAACAATAATGTCATTGTTAGCTAATGAATGTTTCCATGCTGAACAACGGCAACATGACAACGTTTCCATTGGTCCCTCTTCTTTAGAGAAGACCAGGAAATGATGGATACACGGATCGTGTTCAAATCAATAGGCACGCAATGACTCTAAATAATAATGATCACGCCACCAAACACACATTCAGACTAAAGGAACCAGCCTGTTTGGAAAATGAGAGAAGTAGAAAGTACAGGTATTTGTGTTCAACATGTAAGAAGTAGAAAGTACAGGTATTTGTGTTCAACATGTAAGAAGTAGAAAGTACAGGTATTTGTGTTCAACATGTGAGAAGTAGAAAGTACAGGTATTTGAGTTCAACATGTAAGAAGTAGAAAGTACAGGTATTTGTGTTCAACATGTAAGAAGTAGAAAGTACAGGTATTTG